TGGAGTGTGGATGATAAGTAGGGGGTCCACTTATCTCCATTGATTTGGCTGTAGGGGAGAGTGAGTTAAATTGAGCCAAAGGAGTAAGTTGAGCCTCCCTAAAATTAATAATTTGACCAAATATTTAGGAAGAGGTCATCATTTCCTGAGTCTGGAAAAAGTGGTAAGCAAGTTAGGTCCAAAAAACGGATTTTCACTAAGTCAAATGAATTTATTGTGTTAGGTTTCATGATGCTTGTATCTAAACCAAAGTAGATCATTTTAAGATTGTTCTATACATCAGTTTGGGTCTCTATAAGCTTCAATAGGAGGTCCTAAACCTAGCATGAAAGTGCATCCTTGTAGCTGTGTGGGATAACATAGTCAAAATGTTTGTCTTGGGGCTAAATTAAGCCAATTAAGTGTTTTCTTCCCAGGTCTAATGCAAGGCATTATCGCTGGGATATGAGGTAACAACAGGGCCTGGCCTATGTTAAAAGTGTTTTAAAAAGTACAAAGTGTGATTTTGAGGCCTATCATCAGCAACTTTACCATTTGTATCCCGGGAAATGCAGTTTGGACATATTAGTGAAATTATGGAGCCCCTGTTCACTGAAAAATATAGCAATAACTTTCTGTGACCGCTCATTATGTTCATTATGTGACTCCTCACAATGTTTTACATAACGAAGCCCAGGCATCCCTATAAGGTCATAACCTACAGTTGTAAACGTCAGATCCTGCAACTCCTCCTGTGCAAATGTAAAACCCTGTCGTGGAGATGCATGCCCTGGCACAGTAATCCCAAAGGCTCCTTAAAGGACAATGGATTCTAACTGGTTCTCAGCGCGTAGCCATGCATCATCCCAAAAAGGCTGGCCTGCTTGGTAGACTTCTTTTAGACTTTGTTCAAAAGATGTGGATCCGCCCCTGCCTGATTCCAAATCTTAAACATTGCCCGAGCACATGATCTGGCTGGTATTTCTGTCGATTTGCAGGCAACGAGTGAGGAGCAGCTTTATAGCCTGCAGGGAAAAGTGAGAGATAAACGTTGATCCTGACAATCAAAAACTACAGAGGTAAGTAACTCTGGAAGCTTGAATGGCTTTTCTGTCTTTGAAGGCTATGGAAGACAAATCAACCAACAAAAGCATTATTAATGAAGCTGCACAGTTGCTCTGCTTTTTTTAGAGGCTGAAGCTCATATCACTCAAGAAGAGCATTTACTTTAACACTGTAAAACATTTTGAGTTGGTTCAACAAATTATTATTAAGTAACTGGTTCCACAGCTTTTTTTTGGTTAGCGGGAACTTGGGAAAACGTTGGCAAAAATTCTGTCAACTTAAAATGATGTTTGTCCAAATTGTCTAAACTAGAAATTATTATCTTACCTAAAAAACGCTGTGGAATTAGTTACACACACACAGTGCTTTTAACATACAATGTTTTCAACTTACATATTTGACACACGTTGACATTGAGCATGTTCATTTATATAGTAATTCATATTCAACTGTTGTTCAACTCATGTTCTCACCTGGGATTTGAATTTACAACCTTTCGGTTCACGGCATTCCAATCTTCCTGCTATGCTACCATGTCTGTGTCAATGACTGATTTCACCTGTATTGCTACACTTTGCACTTCAAAGTAAATCTCAGCTCTTTTAAAAGTACACTCAAGAAAAACTATTTTATTTATCATAGTGATTAAGGAGTAACATTAAAATAGCTGAAATAGGTCAATAAAATCAATGATGAGAGAAGTAAAATTAACTGATAATTGACACAGACATGGGGATTTCCAATGAAAACATTTATGTGGACATACAAAAGCAAAACCATTAATACTGACAGCAAAATGAAAAAAATAGCACATTTTGCATTGACGTGACTCAGAATCAATGCAGCACTTTTGTCAAGTTAATACTACTCCTTACATAATGTTAATACATCTCTCAAATAATTACATCTCTTTAAAAGTATTCATCCCTTAAAGAATGTAAACTAGCTTTGGTACTATTATTGCTCACACAAACTCTATTTGGCGCAATATTGAAAAACAATGCAACTGGGAATCAAAATGGCATGCCCATACGCCAATATTTCACAATAATGCTTGCGATCTGGAGGGCGGCCTTTTGCATCCCCCAATGGTCCAAATATGACATCCGTACCCTTGCTGATATCATGGATAGTAATGGTTTAAGAACATTCCATGATTTGATAGGCACATACACATTACCCGGAAACTCATTTATTTCTATATTTAAAACTTAGATCAGCTATTCTGGCCTATAAATCCCTTGGGAAATCCAACTACCGAACCATCCAATGATGGGATTCATAAATTAATTATCTAGGCTCCCGAAAGGACTAATCTCTATAATATACACTGACTGTACAAAACATTAAGGACACCTGTTCATTCCATGACAGACTGACCAGGTGAATCCAGGTGAAAGCTATGATCCCTTATTGATGTCACTTGTTAAATCCATTTCAATCAGTGTAGATGAAGGGGCGGAGACAGGTTAAAGAAGGATTTTTAAGCCTTGAGACAATTGAGACATGAATTGTGTATGTGTGCCATTCAGAGGGTGAATGGGAAAGACAAAATATTTAAATGCCTTTGAATGGGGTATGGTAGTGGGTGCCAGGTGTACAGGTTTGTGTAAAGAACTGCAACTCTGCTGGGTTTTTCACACTCAACAGTTTCCCGTGTGTATGAAGAATGCTCCACCACCCAAAGGACATCCAGCCAATTTGACACAACTGTGGGAAGCATTGGAGTCTGTTCTGAGGACAAAAAGTATGGTCCACAGATCTAAGTGAATCTGAACAACCCTTTAATTGGAACAGTATATGGAAAAATATGACCTTGGCATCCCATAATCCGAACTATCAATTTATACATTTTAAGTTTGTTCACAGACTCTATTTAAAACCAAGGAAACGTTTTACGATGAAATTGGCCCCAACTGTTCACTGTGTCCCCTAAATCAGGTAGGCACATTCCTTCATATGATGTGGGAGTGCCCTGCAGTTAGAAGTGCATGAATGTAAATATTCAGTGTGTTGCATCTACAATGTTACTTAATGATGATAGCTCCTTGTATCTCAATTAATCAGAGACGATTACTGCTGGCAGGCAGCACTGCCGCAAAACAAGATGTTGGCTCTTAGAGGGCAATTACCTCACCCTTTCCCAATTCACCAGTGGATACAGTTACTATTAGAAGCCCAACATATACAAATAAACAACCTACAAAGCCCAACACATACAAAGAATATATATATACACACAATTGTTTTACTTTCTTTGCTTTCAGGACCATGGGGAAGGGGTGGGTGGGTGGGGGGGGCTCACTTCTTTTTGTTTATTTTCCTTTAATACAACAATGATAAATACTTTATATTTATGTACTTTTTTCCCCCAGGTGAATACGAACTAAATATAAAATGATATGAATTTGGATATTGTTACCTGTAACCCCCCCCCCAATGAAAAAAAGGCTAAATAAATCCATTTTTGGTCATTAAAAAACGATTCAACTCTGGTCAAAGAGCTATTTTATCATACATATTATGAACGGTTTATAACTTATTTTTGTATGGTGGACGCCATTTACGCATTGGATTATTAAGATTATATAAAAAGCTAAAGGCTTTGCATGCATTCCTTTAAAATAAATTACTCCAACATTTGTCTCACACAGCATATGGGGCAAATAATGCAAATTACCTGCAGAGTAAAGATAATATAAACCAATTAATTGAATTTCAAATTTCACAACTTAAATTGAGCACATTAAATACAGTAAATTAGCATATTTTCTTTATGGTATATTTTCTTCATATAAATTCATGGCAATACAATTCATACAAGGTATTTAATACCTCACGATCAGATTCATTTATGTTAGATAGACAGCTTTGATTTTATTTATTTGTGAATATTTTATTTTGGATAATACTTTGTCTGAAAATCCTACCCACACAGGGTTATAATCCACCATTTTCATCCAGATTTTTTTGGGCCAGAATGAAATATCTTTATGTTCAGTTCCTGTAACCGTTTTCATAAATTTCATAACTACTAGGTATTATGATTTCAAATAAAAAATAATTGAAAATTAACGAAACAAAGGACATTTAGAGGAAATGCTATAGCTAATCAATCATTACATTTATTCTAGCTTTACAAGTTTTAAAGGCACTTAAGGGGGCGGTATCCTAGACACACTTATCCAGGATTTAAAAGCATTTTTTAATGGAGATTCAAGTTTCAAGTTGTATTTGTCACATGCACAAGTACAGTGACATGCTTCACTTGCAAGCCCTACCCAACAGTGCAGTAGCAAAATTGGGTCGGAGCACGCAAGACGGCAGCGATACAGCACGGTGCCATCGTATATTCTCCATTTAGTTGGATTTTTTGTCCAGCACTCGGCTTAATCTGTGTCCTGGAAACCGCCCCTAGATGTCTATTTGAAGACTATTATTGAGACTACTTCCTTGCGTTAAGTTTAACTAATTTTATAAGCAAGAAGCAGCTCAGCTTGACTAGGCATAGGCTCCCACAGAAAGCTTCATCCAAGCTGAAAGAAACCGTATAGTGAAGTTATGCTGAGGACAGTCAAAACAGTCAAAGGCCTGAGATTGTATTCAAAATGTTCTCATTGTAGCACTTGCATGTTGGATACAGTTACAGAATTCGTCTAGATATCATTCTTTAAACATCAATGTAAAGCTTTATTTATGAAATGGATATGTGCTGATTATTAGATGTTTGTATTTTTTTTTGCTGTGCATGTGGTCAGTTTTGTGCCAATTATAGTTCATTTGCTATACAATAACAATCTTGAACTGCTGGGTAAATTGTGACATTCAAATTATTTATCTGATATGAATATGTTTACAACCACAACACAATCACAATGGGCTCTATAGGCCTACTTTCTAACACTCTGTCCTCACTACAGTCTTTAGGCCGACCTTGCAGACAGAAAAGCACTGAGATGAATTCCCTGTTTCTCCTGAGCTGTCTAAGCTCTACCTGGTTTCTCATGGTATACTCACACATGGTACTGGAGGACAAGCTATCCACCAATAAGTCTTCTTTCCGGAGTCTACAGAATGGGAGCCTGTCAGATGCTCCACCCATCGTCATTGTAGGTCAGTTAATCATTAGGTCTGGCATATAATCAGTATGTGGAATAAAAATAAATGGGCTGCTAAAAATTACTGCATTCTTTGAAATGTGCTGATATCTTGTAATATCTCCATTTTGTTGTTGTTATATGAAGGAAATATTATTGTAAAATGCAGATACATTTTGCTCGGTATTTAAGTATTCCAAGGCTGACTTCAAAAGCAAAGCCGTCAGTATGACTAACACCAACCTTGATAAGCTGCTAAATTATATACATTATGAAAATATGTCAACTACATTTATTTTTCAGAGTTGCCCAAAACCGCAAAGAAAAAAAACAAGAAACCAAGAAAGGTAAACTATATTGTGAAAATAATTGTCCAAATTATGCATGTTTGTGTCATATTGATAAATTGGTGGAATTAAGTCTAAAATACACATAGCCAATAGTGTAAATAATGCTTATTGTGACATGAATGTAAAAACATTTCAGTGTGAATGAAGGCATGTTTCTACATGATGAAAAGTATGAGTGAAGTGGTAACACTTTACAATACGGGTACATTATTAAACATTAGTAAATGCAGGAGTTAACATGAATACATCATATATTAATGCATTTTTCAAAGCAACATGCATTCTGTTGACTAGACTATTACTAAAGACATTCATGATCATATTAGTAAAGAGGTGAAAATGCTTCAAATAGCTCGTATGCTAATTAAGTTCATGTTATCTAAATATTAGTTGAGTCACTTTGTAGGGCCCTATTGTAAAGTGGACACTGTTAATGCTTTATAAAGTGTTGTAGGCTATTCATCGTTAATGAACTATGGCATTCATTCATGTTCATTGATGTACCCTTAGTGTAAGTGCAGGCAAGGCTAAATCCTTAACCTTCTTTCACAGAACAAATTCAGCGTCAAAAACAAACGTCCACCTCCTCCCGCCAACTGCGTGCCATTGTGGGGAAGCTGCAAAACCCCTAATAATGTGTGCTGTGAGTACTGCGCTTTCTGCCACTGCCGCCTCTTCAAGACTGTGTGCTTTTGTCGAATGGGAAACCCGCGGTGTTGAAGACATGAAAGAAAAAGAACAAAATATTGGCATATTTACACGGAGAGAAAATGTCTATGAGTAGTGAGACATCTTGTTTGATGTCTCACTTCTGAGGATAATGACCAAGACTACTTGAGGACATAGCCTGCATGTGTAGGCATAAAACCACACAAATCCTTGGACGATCATTCAAAATTTGAGACATTACAAATAATTGGAATAATATTTATCTCAAAATGTAGATGTCTTATGAGGTAAAAAAGCGGCAGCAGACGAGTTCCAAAATGCTGTACTCGAATTTGCAAAAGGGATTTTAAAGAGACTATTGGCCTTGAACAGCCTTGGTGCCCTTTACGTAGGCTACCTTTCCATAAATGGAGAAGTTGACCTAGTCCAAGGCCTATTAAATCATAGCCTATATTAGCGGATATGCAACTGGTTTCCTGACAAAACTAAATACATTTCGTAATTCTATTCCATTAATAAAGACTTTGTTGTGAGACATGTACATGAAGCAGTAGCTTACACATCACGCCAGTGCTGTAAAAGTGACAGTGTGTAGGATTTACTGTCTTGAGTAGTTTTCAAGTCCAGGGGCCAAGTTGTCTGTCTCTTTGATAAAACGTGGCAAGCACTTTAAAAGAAGCACAAATTGTGTTCCCCTACCTGGTTTTCATAGATTGATGCTGCTAGTGTTCACAAGCTCATATTGATCAGCAGTGTTGTATTGCATGCATGTGATGGCTTGACCGACAGCAGAAATTTAACTAGCACTGGAGAAATACAAATGTTTTATAGTTCTATATTAATATGACATGTTAATTACAGAAAGACAAACTGGCAAAAGCACTCCAGGAACCAAAATGTCTGTTGAGTAAAATAAATAAAAAACTGTACAATATTTACAGCGAGGCATTTACTGAAGGCCAATAGTATTTCATTTTTCTATGGCAAATGGCTTGTATTAACACTTATTTTATTGATGTAACGAAACATCTAATCAACACATATTTTGAAATAAACTTCTATTTACATTTTTGGCAACTATTTATTTATGTGCATTGAAGTCATCTTCACATTTAAACACATTTGAACTGCTGTGCTTGTCAAGATCATGGCTGTGAATCATCACACTGCAGCAGTACTGGACGCCTGCTTTCTATTGCACTTGTGTTGCGCCCACGAAAGCGTAAATCATAGTCCACAGACGCTGAGACGGGATAGTCCTGCGTCTCATTGTGACATAGCTACGGAGCTCTGAGACCACCATCCACAGAAGCACAGCGCAAACACACACCTCTCCACAATTCCCAACCAACGCGGCTCCGGTATGTGTCCTCTTCATTTGAATGTGTTGACAGTTGGAGAAATTGCTTGAGCTGCTCTGAGAATTAGAAAAGTATGAAAGCCAACAATCCAATATTGTAGAACACTACTGTGCATAATAATACACGTTTTGGACTATGATAAACCCTTAAAAAGCCCACATGCTACAAAAACATTGCCCATCTCATCAGTTTCTCCTTAGGGGTTCAAGCAGCGAAGCTGGGTGAAACCCTATTGTGTTTTTTGCTGTTCTTTCAATTCTTCTTCCGTAAGAAAAAATTCACATGCAAATTCCCATGAGATGGTAAGACGTACAAGGTTGAGACTTTGCAAAAAAGGTTAAGGACCAAGGGCCACACCCTCTCAAACAATGCCATGTCAATTGGCCTGGCACATGAATGGATATGAGGATATACTCTGATGAATTGTGTAAGGACAATTGCAGAACACTTGCTTGCTTCTTTGACCCTGCAAAGTCGCGGTTACCAGAGGCAAAGTTCTGTATAGCCTCTTTAAGGTTCTGGTAGCGACAAGAAAGAAGATTAATTGTCCGAAAAGAGCAGCTAATAGTATGAGGATTCAGCTGATTTGATGCCACCTTTTAGTTTGCTTGAGCTTTGAGATATCAAATCAAATAAATTTGTCACATGCGCCTAATACAACAGGTGTAGACCTTACTGTGAAATGCTTAATTACAAGCCCTTAACCAACAATAAAGTTCAAGAAATAGAGTTACGAAAATATTTACTAAATAAACTAAAGTAAAAAGTAAAATAAAAAGTAACACAATAAAATAACAATAATGAGGCTATATACAGGGGGTACCGGTAACGAGTCAATGTGCGGGGGTAGAGGTTGGGTGAGGTAATTTGTACATGTAGGTAGGGGTAAAGTGACGATGCATAGAGGAACAGTTTATGACTTGGGTGACTGGAGTCTTTGACAATTTTTTGGGCCTTCCTCTGACACCGCCTAGTATATAGGTCCTGGATGGCAGGAAGCTTGGCCCCAGTGATGTACTGGGCCGTACGCACTACCCTCTGTAGCGCCTTACGGTCGGATGCTGAGCAGTTGCCATACCAGGCGGTGATGCAACCGGTCAGGATGCTCTTGATGGTGCAGCTGTATAACTTTTTGAGGATCTGGGGACCCATGCCAAATATTTTCAGTCTCCTGAGGGGGAAAAGGAATTGTTGTGCCCTCTTCAATATGTACGTATGGTCACTGTTGGGACGACGTCGTTGATGCACTTATTGATGAAGTCGGTGACTGAGGTGGTATACCCCTCAATGCCATTGGATGAAGCCCGGAACATATTCTAGTCTGTGCTAGCAAAACAGTTCTGGAGCGTAGCATCCGCGTCATCTGACCACTTCCGTATTGAGCGAGTCACTGGTGCTTCCTGCTTTAGTTTTTGCTTGTAAGCAGGAATCAGGAGGATAGAGTTATGGTCAGATTTGCCAAATGGAGAGCGAGGGAGAGCTTTGTATGCGTCTCTGTGTGTGGCGTAAAGGTGGTCTAGTTTTTTTCCCTTTAGTTGCACATGTGACATGCTGGTAGAAATTAGGTAAAACAGATTTAAGTTTGCCTGCATTAATGTCCCCGGCCACAAGGAGGGGCGCTTCTGGATGAGCATTTTCTTGTTTGCTTATGGTCTTATACAGCTCGTTGAGTGTGGTCTTAGTGCCAGCATCGGTTTGTGGTGGTAAAAAGACAGCTTGGTAGATAGTGTGGTCTACAGCTTATCATGAGGTACTCTACCTCAGGCGAGCAATACCTTGAGACTTCCTTAACATTAGACATCGACAAATTGACAAATAGACACACACCACCACCCCTCGTCTTACCAGACGTAGCTGTTCTGTCCTGCCGATGCACAGAAAACCCAGCCAACTGTATATTATCCGTGTCGTTGTTCAGCCCTGACTCGGTGAAACATAAGATATTATCGTTTTTAATGTCCCGTTGGTAGGATAGTCTCGAACGGAGATCATACAGTTTATTCTCCAGTGATTGCACGTTGGCCAATAGAACGGATGGTAGAGGTGGGTTACCCACTCGCCGACGAAATCTCACAAGGCACCCCAATCTCCGCCCCCAGTATTTCCGTCTTTTCTTCACACGAATGACAGGGATTTGGGCCTGGTCTCGGAGAAGCAGTATATCCTTCGCGTCGGACTCATTAAAGAAAACATCTTTGTCCAGTTCGAGGGTAGTAATCGCTGTTTTGATATCCAGAAGCTCTTTTCGGTCATAAGAGACGGTAGCAGCAACATTATGTACAAAATAAGTTAAAAACAATGCGAAAACACACACAAAATATGACAGTTGGTTAGGAGCCTGTAAAACGGCGCCATTGTCCTTCCAGTGAAATAGTTACTGGTATCAAAACTCTTTTAGCGCAATTCAGAATCCACAGCCGCAGAGCTGCGATAGACCAGCAGCCCATTGTGACGTATTGTAGCTATCCGCCTCTGCGACCTCCCCAAAATTCCCATCCAACTCGGCTCTGTGTGCTTGGCTCCCATTCAACTGATTGTGATGACAGACACATTGCTTGAGCCTGCCTGAGAATTAAAAAAGTATGAAAGCCAACGGTTCAATATTCTAGAACATTGCTGTGCAGACTCGGACACTTTCAATGACAAAACCTTCCGGTAAACAGCATTCTATAGATCAAAGTCAGGCCAGTGGACCTCATGATTGAGGACTGAGCAGCTCAGAGCAGTGTAATGAGCTGGGCTGTAAACATTGACCAGGCCCAGCCAGTACAAGTCATAAAAGTGTGGAGCCAAAACACATCAACGGGAGGGAGTGACACTTTGGGTACCACAGCTGTTTCCCATTCACAGGCAAAATAAAAGAATCTTAGAAAAAGGTTGGTTGAGCAGTTACGTACCGCAGGAAAACACTTTGGCAGCAATCTCAACGTTTCAGTCTAATGGCCCACAGGGTTGCTCAGGGTACTTTGGTTATCCCTAAAGTTACCTCTTGCATTCCCACCCTTACAAAAAAAGATTACAGATTATTGAAAGTGCAGTAACTGCAGTCGACTGCGGTATGTTGGACGCAGTAATTGCAGTATACTGCAGTTATACTGCACTCTGACTGCAATCTTTTTTCGTAATACACCCCTAAAGTCCCACTATGCACATTGTGTTTTGATAGATGTTTACAATGGTGAAATAAACTTAAGAACAACCTGTAACACTTTATATTAAGGTACCCTTTATAAAGGGTTTATAATGAGGTAATGTGTATTTAATCATTTATTAATGCATATATATTATCATTATACCATGGCATTGTTGAATACTCGTTTCTGATTGGCTTGAAAGGCATTCTAGAGTGTGCATTATTTCCCTATTGCACGATATAATTAAATGGCTATGAAGTTCATTCGTGCATGTTCTATTTGAACTGCTTTCGAAAGTAAAAGTCGAATTGAAAACCTTAACGGCATTGTTGAATTAGATTTTCATAATAGTAAACTAGGATGATTGTTTGGATACCAAGGCAACTACTGTAGCAATCTAGCTAGTTGTTACATTTCTGGCTGTTCAGTGCCTGCCAAATAGTGAACCAATATTAACCTGTAGCTAGCTATAAATGTACTTACAAATGCTTATAAAATGTGACATTGTGAACCCTTTATAAAGGGTACCTTAATGTAAAGTGTTTGCCAAACAATC